CATCCGACCTCCCCTTCAGTCTCCCATCCGACCTCCCCTTCAGTCTCCCATCCGACCTCCCCTTCAGTCTCCCATCCGACCTCCCCTTCAGTCTCCCATCCGACCTCCCCTTCAGTCTCCCATCCGACCTCCCCTTCAGTCTCACATCCGACCTCCCCTTCAGTCTCACATCCGACCTCCCCTTCAGTCTCACATCCGACCTGCAGCCTCCCCTTCAGTCTCATATCCGACCTGCAGCCTCCCCTTCAATCTTGCAGTTGTACCGGCTCCTCTCCTGAACTCTGATGTTGCTGCACACTGTGCATTAGGAGCTGCACCACGTCACATAGAGCCTTCCTAATTTCTTGGCTGGAAGACATCCAGTATCTAGCTCTTTCCTCCCAAGCCTGACTGTTCCTAGCCCCGCCCGTTTTGTTCTTCCAATCATGGAGGCTCAGCATCACATGTGGGTGTTCTATTAAAGATTGTGACTGGGTTGGAATGTGTGACCAGTCACGTAGTCACACATTTTAACCTAATCACGCCCACTTTTTCGGCGGTGGAATATGTGACCGGCAAAAGGAGAAGAATTCCAACGTTTTCTCAGCTGTTCTGCCCTGGAACAGCTGAGAAAACGTTGGAATTCTTCTCCTTTTGCCGGTCACATATTCCAATGCAGTCACAAACTTTGATAGAACATGGGCATTACCTAGGGCAATCTACATGTAAATACGACCTGCCTAGGAACGCCCACTCCTCCAGACTGACCCCTTAAGGCATTTTGAAATTTGCACAACTCCTCCCATGAGCCCACCCACTAATTGTATTAGGCCTGAGGGGACTCTTGAGAAGTACTGAGGCAGGGGGCTGTGATGTTTTAATAAAGCTATGAACAGCACCCTGCCGTCTCCTCCTACCAGCCATGATCTGCCTGCATTGTATAGAGAAGCACACAGACCCGGTGATGACATCACATAAGGCATGTATAGGAAAATGGAAAAAAACTTAATTAGCATGTTGATGAGCAGCGAGGGAAGAACCAGAGATAAAAGCTCCAATTACATGTCTTACAAATGGACAAAACGGAACCCCAGCCGGTCAGACGAGTACAGCAGGATCATCACTGCAGGCGTCCTATAGCAGCCAGAGGAGGTGAGGAGAGGAAATGATAACCAGTCGGCTCCAATCCCGCCATCCAAACCCAACATTGTTCAGTCTGAGTTGTCACAGCGATCAGCGTGTGACATCCTCATACATAGCACAGGCCGCCATCGTCCATGAGACATCCGGAGAATCTAACCCTACAGTACAAAGCGCAGCCCTCCGGGGCCCCAAGGCACATAGAAAAGTACTGGGGGCCCCATGGCACAAATGTCACCAGCGGGCCACACAGTTCTGACAGCAGTACAAGGATCCCACAGTACAGTGTGCAAGGCATGAAGGGAGTACTGATGGGGCCCAAGGTGAAGGGGACAATAGTACACACTGCAGTACAGGGGGCCCCACCTGTAATGACATGAGATGGGCCACATAGTACAGAAAGCAATACAGCGGTAAAGAAAGCCATACAGGAATTCTACGGCACAGTCATATGATATGGGGTTCCATGGTGCAAAGCAGTACAGGGTCCCCACCGCCGGATCCCCTTCATATGGGGACCCCACCGCCGGATCCCCTTCATATGGGGACCCCACCGCCGGATCCCCTTCATATGGGGACCCCGCCGGATCCTCAGATATGGGGACCAATATTGCAAAGGGGCCCCCCACAGTCAGAAGAAACGGGAGTCTCTTTATAAAAAGGTCACAGTAAAGGGGTTCAATAACACACTTAGATGACATGAGGCCCTACTATATGTGATATGGGGCCCTACAAGGCAAGGCTGCTCAGGGGAGGCCCCATAGTAGTCAAATGACATGTATAATTAGATGAGGGCCCCATAGTATAAGGAGATATGGGGCTCTTTAGTCTAAAGCAGTAGAGGGGGCCCCACTTTACAGTGATATGATGGGGGGGCCCCCAGTGTATGGAGATGATCCCCCACAGTACACACAGCAGTGCAGTGGGCCCCTCCCCCCAGGTGTCTCTCACCTTTGAAGAATTTCAGTGCCAGTGAAAAGAGCTCCTCCAGGCTGAACCCCCACCGCTGCTCCATACTGATCTGCCCGGCCTCGTCCTCTTCTCCTACTTCTCCCGCCCCCTGTGGCGGCTCTTCCTCCTGGTCGGGGCTCAGTGTCAGCCCGTCTATGGACACCTCCAACCTCTCTACACCGCTTACCACCGCCATCCTCCCCCGGCCACGTCCCGACTTCCGGCTCCCTGACACGGGGACGCGCACGTCACCTCCGCCAGCCAGCCAGTCACCTCACGTCTGTGCGCATGCGCAGCGAGTAGAACGGGACGCGCGGCGCGTCCTAAATTCTCCGAGCTGTCACTATCGGAGGGCGCGCTCCCGCCTCCTGCTACTGACACAACCAATGGGGGAGTGACAACTGTCCCTGACTACAGGGGACACCCACAAGCCGAACTCTTCTGTACCCTATTACAGGGGACACACACAGGCTGAACCCCTGTGTCCTCACTGGGCCTGATGTCCAGGGACTTTCTCTGGTCCTGGAGGCTTGTCCCTGACTTCTGTATGAGCAAATCATTGTTTTATGTTTTGGTTTTTTTTCCCACAGAAAGATAAATAAGAAGAAATAATTTAGAGCAAAAGTTCACAAATGACAATAAAATGTACAAACAACACTAAGGGCCCATGCACACTACGGTTTTGTTGTAACGCGCATGTCACTGCACGCTTTACCGCCATGCACAAGCTCATGTAATGCGTCGGTGGTGTGATGCGGTGCCGTTCATTCTGCAGCATTTCAGCACCTGTCCATATGAAGGGCTGTTGGGGGATCATTCACAATGAACATCTCCGCATTGCACCAAAGCATTACACGTGCATTGCCGAGCGTTACCGCACCGCCATAGTGTGACTCGGCCCTGAGTGTTCCTTAAATCTGTGTTATTTCTTTCTTATTGTTTGTACATTTGATTTTTATTTGCATTCCGTTGCTTGAAATTTGTAATTCTACTTTATTGTTTGTTTGTATTCCTAATGCAGGAAAAAATTATCAAACAAAAATTTTACACAAGAACAAAAAATAAATCCTCAGGGGCCATTTTAAGCTCTTCTCCCCATAAGACCACTATTTTATCAAGTGTCCCCAGCAATCATGGACAGGGAGTGGGGCCTGTGAGTGTTCCTGGCAATCAGGGACAGAGGAATACATCCTGCGGGTGTCACCGGCGAAGATGGACAGAGGAATGGGGCCTGTGGGTGTCCCTGGCAATCATGGACAGAGGAGTGGGGCCTGTGCGTGTCCCTGGCAATCATGGACAGAGAAGTGCGGCTTCTGAGTGTCCTCGGCAAATCATGGACAGAGGAATGGGGCCTGTGGGTGTCCCCGGTAATCATTGACAGAGGAATGGGGCTTCTGAGTGTCCCCGGCAATGATGGACAGAGGAATGGGGCTTCTGAGTGTCCCCGGCAATGATGGACAGAGGAGTGGGGCTTCTGAGTGTCCCCAGCAATCATGGACAGAGGAGTGGGGCCTGTGGATGTCCCTAGCAATCATGGACAGAGAAGTGCGACTTCTGAGTGTTCCCGGCAATCATGAACAGAGGAGTGCTGCATGTGGGTGTCCCTGGCAATCAGGGACAGAGGAGTGCGGCCTGTTGGTGTCCCCGGCAATGATGGACAGAGTAGTTGGCCCTGTGAGTGTCCCCGGCAATCATGGACAGAGGAGTGCTGCCTGTGGGTGTCCCCAACAATAATGGACAGAGGAGTGCGGCCTGTTGGTGTCCCCAACAATAATGGACAGAGTAGTTAGGCCTGTGAGTGTCTCCGGCAATCATGGAAAGAGGAGTGCGGCCCGTGGTAGTCCATGGCAATCATGGACAGAGGAATGTGGCCTGTTGGTGTCCCCGGCAGTAATGGACAGAGTAGCTGGGCCTGTGAGTGTCCCTGGCAATCAGGGACAGAGGAATGCGGCCTGTTGGTGTCCCCGGCAATAATGGACAGAGGAGTGTGGCCACTGGGTGTCCCCGGCAACCATGGACAGAGGATGTTGTGTAATATTCTCATTATCCTATTATTAATATTGATTTAGTTTCTGTGTTTGTTGATGTGTGAACATTCCTCCCCTGAGAAAGCCAAAAACAGCGAAATGCATAGAAATATTTGAACCGATCCCCCCACACGTCCAGTGACTGCTGTTCTATATATCACTCGGGTGACTCAGAGATACGATCAGATCCTCGAAACAAACTATTAACGTACAGTAGCTGTGCGTCTGAATGATCCATTATTGCTTTATCACAGACAACCAGAACATACGATTGTTTTTAATATTTGATGATTTTAACTTTATGTACAATAAAATGTCGGATTTTATATTTATCTTTGTGATGCTGCTCTGGGTCACCCCTAAAAAAATGGTGAGATGGACGAGACGCAACGACGAAGCAACATTCAGAATTTTGTGTGCGTTCTCCAGAGTCTCTCATGTCACAGAACAGGAGTGGCCAAGTGTTTGGACAGCTGCAGCAATGCGAAGGAAACGGCCGCTCCTTGCACCATGCGGACGAGGCTAGAGGGCCCGTTTTACACCCCGGCGCAATGTGCGGCAGAGTTTTTTCGCGCATTAAGGCACGTTGCAGTGCGCTGCATTAGGCAGCCCGTTCAAAATGAGTAACGCACCTCTTGACGCAGGAAAATCTGGGAAATGCTCCAAGTTTTTGCACATTGTGCGGAGCCATACATACATGCAGGTGCGCTGGGGCGCCATACAAAAAGAATTAACGGCACTGCAATGCACCGAGGGGCACATGCTGCATTGTCGCACGTTGCAGTAGCACGCTGGTGTAAATGTAAACTATCCTGTTATGTTATAAATGGTGAATCTGTTTGTTCCATCTACAGAGTGACATTTAATTTACAATCATGTAAGAAGAAACATGTAAAATATATTGCAGAGCGCCAGTCCTTACATGAGGCGACTGCATTCGTTTTTATTTTCACGGCTTTTAATTTTTCCCCCTGGTGCCAGTAACACACTTCCTGTGTGACAACGCTCACTTAGTGTTCTGTATCTATGGAGGAGCAGCGTTGTCACCCCAGGCTGCTCTCCCAATGTAGGCTAGAAACACCTCCTCCGCTCCTCATCGCCATTATTCTGTAGTTTGTAGAAGAGAGCAGGTAAGACCTGATGACATTTTTTGAGATTTTAGGTAGTTAAAGGAGAACTATGGGGTTAGCGCTTTTCCCCACAGTTCTCCTAAGGGTAATGAGAGGACACAAACTAGCGTCCTCCCGTCACCCAAAGCTCAGTATACCGCGAGCTACAGCTCGCGGTATACTGAGATGCCGCAGCCAGAACGGATCCTGACAATTATGTCTGGATCCACCCAGCTGCGTGAGTGACAGCTGGCTCTGCCTATCTAGAGGCAGAGCCAGCTGTACCCGCCCCCTCCCCCGTCCGTTCCGCCAGTCAGCGCTGGAGGATCTGACAGGGGAGGGGGGAATCCAGTCCCTCCAGGCTCTCTGCCGGCACAGGATCGAGATGTGAGCGAGCGCCGGTATGTGTTCGCTCACTTCCCGATCTACTGAGCCGACCTGTGACAGTTTCCTTGTTATAGGGCGGCTAGAACTATGAGGATGAGTGAAAATCACTCACCTCATAGTTCTCCTTTAAACAAGCAGTTACAAGGAGTCTTGCACAGTTGTACCGCTGTTCTATCGAAAGCTCCAACTTGTCAAAATCTCCAACTACCTCACTGGCGGGTACTTGCAAGTTGGAGATTTCGACCAGATGGCGTCAGACTGCAAAACACAAAGACTGACAGAGCTCTGCACAGCTGCATTTACAATACTCGAAGAGTAATGTGAAAACGCTATGCGCGCATGTGCACCGCAACTGTACAGGGCTCCAGTCTTTCTGAGCACCGGAAGCGAGGTAGTTGGAGATCTCGATGAGTTGGAGCTTTCGATAGAACACCGGCTCCTCTCCTGGTCTGAAATTGCTTACTCATATTTCACAGCAGCTTCTCACAATGTGCATTAGAATCTACAGCAAGTCAGATAGAGCCCGCCTCCTTTCCTGGCTGGCGAACATCCAGCATCATCTAGATCTTTCCTCTCCAGCCTTGCTTGTCCTTTTATATTAATTGGATTTCATGTTGCCGTTACCTAGGGCCGTCTGCTGTTTTCAGGAAGCTATGCACAGCTCCTGCCACTAGCCATGATCTGCCCACATTTAGGGTTGCCACCTGTCCCGGATTCATCTGAACAGTCTGGGTTTTGAGTCCTGTATGTGCTGTGTCTGGGTTTCAGCTGGCCTAAAACCCGGAAACAGCACATACTGGACTCAAAACCTGGACTGTCCCGGTGAATCCGGGACAGCAGGAAACCCTACCTACATTCCATAGAGAAAAGCAGAGACCCAGTGATGCCAAAAATATCTCAAATAAGGTATGTGAAGATTTTATTTAAGAATGTAATTAGCCTGTTGGTGGGGGTGGGAGGAGGACCCGGGGATGGCAAAATATAAGCAAAATGAACTTCTTTCAATTTTGTGCCAGTGCCAGTACATTCCAGCAGAGGGAGACAAATCACCATATCACTAGGAACACTTCCAGCTGCTTGAGCAAGCAGACTTTCCAATGCAGAGGTTGTCGGTAAACCTAAATGTGTACGTAACCCCTAACAGTGAATGTCTCTCATTTGTTTCCTTTGCTCTCTTAAATATACAATTTTGTTATATCTGTTTTGATAAAAGCAAAAAAATACCTATTGATCTCATCTCATTTCGGAAATTCGGATGTGTCCGAATTTTCTAATTACAGATATAAAGAATGCAAATGAATCCGAATTTCCGATTCCGAAATTCGTTAGCAGTAGCCTGCACGGATTGTCGTTTAGTTTTTGTTTCATTCGTTGCATATGAAAAGTATTATGACACCTCGGCTCACAGCCCCGAATGGCATTGAGGAGCTCCCGAATGCTATGTGATATTTGACAGCTGAGAATGTCAAAGGGCGGAGCGAGCCCCGTGACATCACGGCTCGCTCCGCCCATCTGTTTACTTTCGGGCAGGAGATGTCATTTTGCAGCGAGTTTTCGCCGGGTTCGGACGGTCGTCGTGCGGCGGGACTTTTTTTTATTGCGGCGGGTCGGCGGGGGTTGTGCATCGTGATTGATGCTGGATTACATCGATGGAGCCATTTTTTTATTAAAGGAATAGTCAAAAATTGACTCTGCTTTTTTTTTCAATTAAAGGACTTTTTCTAAAAGTGTGGTTTGTTTACTTACTT